GATGGTTTTATGATGAAATACTACTCAAAAATAGTTAAAAGAAAGAATATTATTAATTGACATATATTACTCAATAAGTAGCATTGCTCCTCTCCCTCTGTTACCCTACGCTATCATAAAGACCAAAAATAGCTGGCTGAAAAAGGGGATATTTTGCAAAAGTTTAACACCAACTCTATCAGGAAAATGCGTTATTTTCAATAAATAAAACATTTCCTGTTTATGAATCTGGAATTACATCAACATTGGATTGTGAAGTAGACCTAAGTTTTGAAGAGGGGCTGCTTTTTTCAGTCATTCCACTTTTGAAAAGTTCGGGGCAATTTTTTTAAAAAAATTAAAAATTAGATCTTTTCTCATATTGCATACCAACAAGAAGCCTGCTAGTGCAAAAACTGTAAAGCAAATTAGTAAGGTCCATGATGTGAGTTCACAACATGGCAGCTATAACCCTCTGAGCAGAGCCACAGTGCCATACCCCTTCTAGGGATCTGTATTTAAGCTTCAATTCGCCTACACAGAGAGAAAAGCTTCTGGACACCAGCAAATCTTTCTCAATTGTGTTGCTTTTTCTTTTGTCACAGGATGGATCTTGGATAGACAAAAACTTTTCTAACTCAAAAAGGTAACTTTCAAGTTGAATAATAATCAGGCATTCTACTTTCAGAATCAGATTCAATTAGCAAAGTCACTTGTATTCTGACTTAAGGGTAGACCAATATTATTCTAATAGATTTGCTTGCTCTGCTATAAAGGTCATAAAGACTGAAATGTTACCTGAAAATTTGCCATCATGCAGCCTGACTCTATTTTGACCACCAGTAAGAGAATGATACCTCAACGGAAGCACTCGCACGGCTTACAAGAAGAGTCAGGAGCATCACTACGTTAGTACGTGAACACTCGAGAGGGCGCATCTTGGTATCTTATGTAGTTGAGAATGCCTTCTGCAACGAGGTGAAAAGAAGCTATCCCACCATTAGGAAGAAGGTCTTATAGCAACAAATCCCAGGTTCCTCCTCTGCTGCAAGTATTAAGGTACAGAACTATCATCTGGTACAAAAACCAGGTTGTGCAAGAGATCAGAGTCCGGGTCCTGGAGGTGAGTACACACTTCCCGCGCTGCATAACGAGGCAGAGCACACCTTGCTAAACACTTCATAAAAAACATTGAATCGTTCTGTCTCAACATGCTTACTTCTCAAGTCAGTTGTGGAGGTCTCTGCTACATTTTGCTGGAGTATTAAAACCTAAATGTAGGTTCTCCTGCAGGTATCACCTTTCTTCCCCTTGATCTGGAGGAAATGAACCAGCCAAAAAGGGGAAAGATGCTGGGGAAGGTTAAGCATTCCCTGACTGCTGGCCCCCTGCTGCCAGCAGAGTCAATCAACAGCAGAGCAAGAGGAAGAAATTTATTTTCATTCCAATTTTGCCAAGGCACGCATATTCCCTCTCTCTCTTTTTTTTTTTTTTTTATTATTAGCTTAAATTAGTACCATTAATTCTTCTCATAGAAGGCAAGAACAGTTTTCAACTACCCAAATATTTATCAAGTGCTTCGTTTCATTTTGCTGGGGTACAATTTTGATATGCAAACCTATTTGAAACAGTGATTTCTAATTCTTTTCTACTTTGCGGGAATTCTAAGTAGGTCAAATTTTTTGTTTTGCTTTTCAAAAACACCATTGGCAGTCAAATGCAAGTTTAGCCCCCCAGAAACGAAACAGTATTAATATACTTCTAACTGGCAGTTTCCACAACTTCCCCTCTTTTTTCTTTTTTTTTTTTTTTAAGGGATGTGATAAAAACTTAAAAAAGGAAAAGACTCAGATGTAAAGATCCTGCAAAGAGATGGGTATCAACAAGGATGTCACACATGAGCTACATAATAGGCACTATTAATAAAAAGATATGTTTTGTATGTGCACATACATATATGTAATAATTCCTTAACTAGAAATAATATTTTGAAAGATTGAGTCAACCTAAAAATGGACCTGTATACATTACAAATTTTTTAACAAGAACATGCTTGTAAACAAGATTTGATGCAATTAAAGGAAATGTGTCACATTTCTTGTAAACGCACCAACCACATTTCACTGGTTCGCTGCTCCCTCTCAAGGCAGAAGTACAGAAGTTCGTTTCTCCTCTTCGATCTACACTCAGTGAATTTTGTAATGGAATTCAAAGAACCCCATCTCTCTCTACAAGACAAACTCTACACAGAAAAGGCCGTGCCTGCAGACATAATAAGCACTGGTTTTCCGACAAAATCATGTGAAACAAGGTTGGATGTCTCGTCTACCAATAAGGCAATGAACACCAAGTCCTCTGACACGGTTAGGTCAAGGTCAGTAGCAGCAGGATCCCTATTCTATGTTAGCTATCTAACTAAGAAGCAGCACATATTTTCCACTAAATTTGCACCACCTAACTAAAGGTTAAATAGTATTTTTACTGTAAGGGTGTTTCTAACTGCTGGGCATTTATTTCCATTTTTGCTTGAGACGCATTGTCAGAGAAGCAAACTTGCACTGATAACACTGGCTTACAGTCAGCATAAACATCTTCCCCAAGGTTTGCACCTGCAATTTAGTCAGCTTCTAAGTCAATTTTAATTGACGAAGCACACAAGCACACCTCAGTTGTAGATTCGACCAGTCAAAAAGAGACAAGAGGCAGAGTACTTAAGTTTTAACAACTGCCACCTTACACGTTAAGCATGTTAGACCACCTATTCTAGGAGCTAAGCAATCTCTGAAAGCCTTACATACATAAATACATACATACAGAGTTAACTTCTGAGAACATGAAGAGGCAAATCTTCCATGTCGGAGCAATGTTGTCACAAATCAAACTTAGGTTTTCAAGTTTCCATTCAGACCTAAGGCATCGGATAATCTGTTCAGCAAATATTGCCTTATCCAAGTTACTCAGTTTTCGGGTATTAATCTCCTGCAAAGAATGTTTAAGATTTACTTCATCAAGCTTTTCTAGGCCCTGGTTTATGGACTACCTTCATAAGCCAAGCTACATCACCACACTCTAGCAGTGGTGTCCAGAGGCCCTTGCCAAGGCCGTTGTTGCAGCAGAAGCCGCTCTACCTGGTCCATGAGAAAAGTAAGATGAGTGAGCACTGTGGGCAATACCATGAGCAAACTGAGAAGCCAACTGTCTACACTAACCATTAAGGAACTTCAATGATAAATCATCTTTTTTTTCCTGGAGATTCACAGCTCTGGAAGTGTAGTGGCAGTAGATTCAGAAACTCCATTATTAAGTACAGCCAGAGAGGATGGCAGTCTAACCCATAATCAGTCTCCGACAGACCAGAGTATCCATTAATGTCACGTTTAGGATGGTCAGGTTTGACATACCTCTGTCCACGCAGGATTAAGGCCACGCTTCCCTAAACAGTGGGCTAGAATCACATTCT